CACAAGTACAATTTAGGAAAAAAAAAAGAGAAGATTTTTCTTTTTCAACCCATTCTTGTTTCCATATAGGCCAGCTTAAAGGAGGTTGTGAGGAAAAAGCTAACACAAAACACAGCCATCTTGGTTATCAGTCCTTGGCATATCCAATCCACTTCTTAATACTGAGGTCTTATTTCAGACCCGACAGAATGTATAGATAGATAACCCCAATGTGCTTCTCTCCTGGCCAGGATCAAACTATAATCCAAATGGGGCTGATCCTGCTGGCAGCCTCTAAAGATCATGAAGCTAAAGGTTTGCTAATAGGGTGTCTGCCAGCAGCCAGTGAAAGCCAGCTGATGGATAGCTTGAAGTTCAGAGATTGATCGTTTTCAGGGAAATGTCTCTCTGTCTCTGTCTCTATATCCTTTCTCTCTCTCTCTCTCTCTCTCTCTCTCTCTCTCTCTCTCTCTCTCTCTCTCTTTCTCTCTCTCTCTCTCTCACACACACACACACACACACACACACACACACACACACATCAGTGGCTTCCATTTGGTTTCAAGTTACCACACCATGGCTTATATTAAGGTCATTTTAGGGACTATGCCCTTGCCAGTGCTCACTTGGGAGTCTTGTCCAGAAAGAATGAGAAGACAATCAAGATGTCAGGCCCTAACAGCCGTTCATATACTGTTCCAGACATATTTTACCTCCTTCTTAACTTGGCAACTGCTTGCCTTCAATTTTCATGCTCTGGCTAGGCTGGAATGCTTGTACCATTCCTCATGCTGCAATCTTACTGTTCATGGCATGTAGTCTGGTTGATGAACTAGTTGGTTCCTCTGTTTTCCTATGCTGCTCCTTAAAATTTCAGAAATGGGCCTGGGTTCAGTCTTTGACCTTGTTCATCCTGCACTTCTGGGAATGAGCTTCCTGATACCCAGCATGCTTTCCAGAAACTGTACTCCCTACTAAAACCTTGTTTGAGAAGACTTCTTCACTGTAGATGGTCTGAAACAACCTGCTTACTTATATCAGAAATATTTCACAGAACTGGCAGTTTGCAACATCCAAAAGTAGACAGCATCAAGGGTGAGCATCATTGTGCTAGCTAGGGTTTTTTTTTTTTTTTTTTTTTTTTTTTTTTTTTTTTTTTTTTTTTTTTTGGTTTTTCGAGACAGGGTTTCTCTGTGTAGCTTTGCGCCTTTCCTGGGACTCGCTTGGTAGCCCAGGCTGGCCTCGAACTCACAGAGATCCGCCTGGCTCTGTCTCCTGAGTGCTGGGATTAAAGGCGTGTGCCACCACCGCCTGACTTTATGTCAACTTGACACAAGCTAGAGTCACTGGAGATGACAGAGCTTCAGTTTAGAAAATGCCTCCATAAAATCATGCTATAGGCAAGCATGTAGAGCTTTTTCTTAATTAGTGAGTGATGTGGGAGGGCCCAATCCATGATTGGTTGGGCTACCTCTGGGTTGTTAGTCTTGTGTTCTATAAGAAAGCAGACTGACTAAGCCATGAGGAACAAATCAGTGAGCTGCAGTCCTCCATAGCCTCTGCATCAGCTCCTGCTTCCAAGTTCTGGCCCTGTTTGAGCTCCTGTCCCGACTTCCTTCAATGATGAACAGGGATGTGGAAGTATATGTCAAATAAACCCTTTCCTCCCCAAGTTTCCTTGATCATGGTGTTTTATTACAGCAATGATAACCCTGACAAAGACAATCATGAACTCTGCAAAGTATACCTTCACTGTGTGGACTTCCTTATGAATGTGATTCTCTTAATGGCAAGCCCAGAACTCATTCTTTTACTGGCCAAGGCAAAGTGGCCACTATTAGCTTGGAATGCTCAGGTAGGCTGTGAAGCATAAAGACAGGAAAGAAGCAGCAATGGATGAATCACTTGATCGAATAATTGACATTTGAGCAGTTTTCTCTCTACCTGCTTCTTGATTCTCTGTGATTAGCTTCATTTTTTCCTGCTGTAAACTGGCTTTCTCCATATGTAAGAGAATGTAAAGTCAAGGGAAAACCACTTGCCCTTCACTGTTGGGCTCACCCAGGAAAGGCTGTTTTTCTTAATCCTTTAAAGTTTCAAAATGCCTGCCTAGGTTTAGACAAACACCAGCCTTAAAGCTGCAGATGAAAAGGAAATTATTTCTCTCTTCCCATATTTGTTATGGGTCTCTTTCCAGTGGATGGGAATAAGCATATGGGAAAGAGAGGCTGGAGTGTGTTGAGTCACCAGTTTGATTGATGGGTTCAATTAAAGAGGATATCTACTATGAAACAAGGGTTTATATATAGGGCAGTGTGGAGAAGAAACTTAGAGGGAACCATCAAAGCAACCAGGAAACTGACTTCTAAAACTCAGAAACCCAACCAGACTAATGCAGGCCTGACTTCTGATCCTTGCAAAAGCCAACTGGGAAACAGAAGTCAGAATGAACAAATCTTATGTGAGTAACTCAGATATTAGCGTGGGGGCAGACAAGTATCTTGGAAATGTTTGGTAAAGCTTATAAAGATATATACGATATATAATGTTTTTCTTTGAACCCTCACATGTACTTTATAGTTACATTTAGTCAATGATTCCTAAGTAGGGCTGGGTAGATAGCCTAATGGTAGAGAACATGGGCACAACCATGGTTTTGATACTCAGCACTGCACAATTAATAATAATTATAATAAAATTCTTGTTTTCTTTTGTATATACAATTCAAATAGAGAGTTCTAGATACATATATAATCTTCATTCATTTTTAAATATAGAATCTTGTTGCAAAGACCAAATTTACATATGGGAAATGGAAATAGCATAAACAGAAAGTTATAGATAACTCTGCATAGGAAATGGGTTCTTAAATGTATTCATATATCATAAAATATAACCTATAAGAAAATAAGTTTAAATAAAAGCCTCAGATCAATTTGATGTAAATTTAGTGATCAATTCCATGCTTGATAACAAAGACCAGCTGTGATAGATAGGCAGTTTTCAATTGATTTAAAGATATGAGACATGGGCTCTTTTGTGGGTCATAGGGACCAAATAAAAAGCATAGATGTTTCATCAGCTTGCTTTCAATATCTAGTCTGCAATACCATGAGACATCTCTTCATCCAAAGTGGTCTTTGCTTTGTCTGGTTCTCCTGTCTCGCTCTAGAATAGAGATCTTAGATGCTTTGTGATAGAATCACCAAAGTGCCAGGATTCTGTAGCTGCTTAGTGGGGGAAACAGTGGCTTTTGGTACCCTAAAAAGCCAATATTTACATTTCAGTTCTCATTTTGCTGTAACTCCAGTGTTCTCATCTTTACATGGATATAGTAGTAATAATGTCTTATAAGTATGGAAGTATGGCTTTCTGGGGATTAAATGTGAATGTGTTATCTGTATTCATATATATATATCTTTAATAAACAGTGATATTGTTATTACTACAAGCTAGCATAGCACTGAGATCTCTGAACTCTGAGGAGATTACTAACCATCATATATGGTGTAATGTGTGTATTTATAGTACTCTATCATTAGGAACACTTAGAAATATTTGGCATTAATCCTGAAATGTAGTTTATAAGCTTCATTCAAACTCATATCCTCATTTGATCTTTAACATTTTCTAATGTGATCACTATTATTTTCACTCCACAGAGATAAATGAGCTAGAGATTCTTAACACAGGGTTACAATCCAAGAAGTTGTGTAGCCCCCAAAGCACTTAGTTGGGAAGTTGGGGAACCAACTTTGAACCCAAGTCTTCTAACTCAAAAGCTGTTCCCCATACCAAAAGGCTCTTTACAGATGGTATTTTTAGGTTTGCATATATGTGATCTACCTTTCTCCAAAGTCTCTATTCACCCGCAAGATACTTACTGATAATTAATAACACACCATGAGTATCCAGCTCACCTGCTATGTAAATATGTACATCAAGTTCATGTTTGTTATTCCTGGTGTTTTAAGATAAGAAATAGAATTTTGTCACATAAAGCCTAATGCAAATCCATTAGTCTTTGGATTAGGATTCCACTGGCACAGACTGACATTAAAATGCTGTTAACTCTGTTAACTCCAGAGGACACAGCTAATGAAATGTCCCAAAATTTGAGCACTTGCCAAGACACCACATCGCATAGGACAGCTCTCAATTAATCATGATGATAGTATTTCCCCTATCTAAATGAAATCTGTAATTTGGGATGGATTTTAAAGATCCTCTGGGGGAATGAAGGAAAGGTTGATGTGAAAATTCTAGGAACTTGAAAATAAAGATAGGTCTATTTAATATTCATGATGTCAGATTGTTGATGCAAATAGATGGTCATCTCTTATTTTCCAATGCATGGTCCTGTAGCACTCCTGTATCAGTCTTCCACAGGTTCCCTTTAACTTTACAGGAAATTACTGGAAACTGCACAAATCTTTTTGAAAAAGGAAGCTTACCACATCAAATATGATTTTCTAGAATCTCTGATTTCTTATTTTTTGTCTAATGTTCATGATCATAGATACATAAATGTAAAAAGATGATATAACATATGTACTAGATAAATATTTGTAAGTGAACCTTTATTGCATTAGGTAAGTACACTATCATATGCTGGTTTAAATATTAGCTGGAATTTGATTGTGCTTACTTGAGAGAAAAATCAAATTTCTTTAGCAAACTCATTTTATAAAGAAATGGCACACATTTTAACTTCTACCCAATTTAAAAGAAATCCCTACCTCTTGTAGAGCACAAACCCTATTACTGTTGTGTACAATTAAAGGGAAAATTGATGTGATTTCTATAAATGCTTAATTTACTTCATTAAGCATTGCAAATAGGTACTTGAAGTGGGAGTAGGTGTGGAAACTCAACCTTCCTATTTCAGCCTCCAAAATCTGCTCAGAGCAGGTACCAGACCTCAGGAAATGCTTGTGGGTATCTTTGTAAAATACAATAACAGAATTGGTTTCTGAACAGATTATTGGTTACTTATTTTTTTTTCTATTTCTTTTCTCCAGGCTAGCCCTGCTCCTATAATTGTCAACACAGATACTTTGGACACTATTCCTTATGTAAGTACCGTTTTTATTAAGATTTTATTTTAAACGTCTGGTAGTACTCAATTAGCTGATTTTAACAGTCACTGTGAAATTAGTTCTAACCAATCCAGATAATATGATAAAATGATGTACATAATTAGTTGTGTGAGTTTTGTTTTGCTATTTCCTGAACCCTGTCTTAGTCATACAAATGTTTCTCTTTTTTCTTTGAATTTCATAAAGCAGAGTGGCCAGTCATGAGGGAAAAAAAAAGCATAGACGAGACTGTTAAAATACTGTTTGTTTGTGAGGTGCTTCACTAGAAAGTGATTGAAATGCTGGTAGCAGATGTGGTAAACATCATTGTGTTTCTGGCTAAACAAACAATTTCTATTGCAGAACCTGGAACCTAGTTAATGAATAAATATTTGATGGATTATTTGGGACTCCTGATAAAAACTGGAGGGAAAATATTACAGATAAACTTTCCATGTAATAACATATGCGGATTTGTGAAACTGTGGAGTGTGAAATAGTAAGAGTAGCAGTGAGCATGAAATATAAGGATGGGGGTAGACTAACAGCCTGGAACATTGGAGCATAACCACTATGGTGGCCAAAGATTTTAAGGACAGATTCTAGATCTAGAGACTGGAAATAGGCTCAGTGTGGGAGGATGATTGACATAATTTTGGATTTTTTGTGAGTACTTTGAGCGGGTTGATGGGTAGATGATGGTGGCCAGGGACCAAAAGATAACCACATATCCCACAGACAAGGTGTGGAGTAGGAAAGAGGGGCCAGTGGGATAAATAACAAGAACAGATTTCTGGCCTTTAAGTGCATAGAGCATATAGAAGTACTTAGAATTGGCCCACAGAAGGTACTTGCTACACACCAGATGTTCTCAGACTTAGAGTCCAATCCCATGTGCCTGGAGGCACCAAGCAAATCCCAGACACAAATCAAGTAGGGGTCTATGGGAAATATAAAGCACATGACCCTCTAAAGAGGACAACAGCTACATGGGGCCGTTTTGCCAAATCATGTCATTTTGCAAGAGATGTTAGAAATTTACATCTTTATATAAATATTTTCAATTCCTAGTGACAACTATTAATACTTTCCAAAGTTTGAAGAGCAAATTGCAAACAAAGTGGTCCTCATTCATAGGCTGCCTTTTGGAAAATACCAACCTCATGTAGCTGGAGGTCCCAAACAGGCTCTGCAAGCCAGCCCTTAGACACAAGGGAGCACCACACCAGAACTGGGGTGCAATGCTGGGACTTGATTACAGAACACCGGACTAAACTGGGACACAGGGTTAGGACAGAAATAACTGCAGTCTCAGCTTACTGCTGAATCACCTGAAGTTTTTCACTAGCATCTCTTAAATCTTCCCAAACAAGAATAGTTAAGGGCCAGAGAGGAAATGTGGTTAAACTCTGGCATGAATCAAGTAGTCTTGGAAAGTTAAGGGCTCTGTAGAAGCTACAAAGTAATATCTTAAAGTCCCTTGGGGTCTGCTACATTTCTTATCATTCCTTCTACCTTCTCTCTGAATGCCTAACATTGTTTTAAGTAGTTAACAAATGCATATAATTTAGTTCTCCTATCCAATGAAGCATATTCTATTCATTTTTATATTTTAAAAATTGGGAAATGGAGTCTTAAGTTAAGGAGGTTCAGTAACTCACTGAAGTGTTCTGTGCAATAAGCAGGGCAATAAAGAAACCTAAATACCCTTACTATCGCTTAAAGGCTTTTCAGCTCCTATCTGGATGTTCCTTGTATTTCTTCTCTCTTTCCCTCTCTTATAGTAAGCCTCTCAACTTAAGAACAAAGCTTGCTTATATACCCCATTACTGCATGAGGATTTGCTAGGGAAAGCTTGCCACAGAAGTTCTGACTTTCTTCGGGATCCATATATGAAGGAATTCAATATTCTAAACAAATCTATTTGGCATAAAACATTTGACAGCACAGAAAAGTAGTGTGCTCTAGCCACCTTTCTGTTGCTAGCATAAAACAATTAGCAAAGGCAAGATGGGGAAGGGAAAGTTTATTTGGCTTACACAATGATGGTCAGAATCTATCACTAAGAATTCAGGACAGGTAGGAAGTCAAATCGGGAGCTTGAGTCAGAAACCGTGGAGGAGTGCTGTTGGCTTTCATTCCTTCCTCAGTTCATGCTCAGCTAGCTTTCTTTAACAGCCCAGGTCCGTCTGCCTAGGCTGAGCCCTTCCACATCAATCATCAGTCAAGACCATTCCCCCACAGTCCTGACCATCGGACAGTCTGATCTGGGCATTCCCCCATTTGAGACTCCCTCAGATGACTCTAGGCTGTTTCAAGTTGACAGCTGACATTAACACAGATACTGTGCTTTGTAGAGGTAGATATGGGTCACAGAGGCTTGGTTTGGCAAATGCGACTACATTTTGTAGTGAATCGATAATATTTCAAAGCTTTCTGTTAGGGTTCTCATGGCTTCACTGTGAGGTGTTGACATGTGAAAATGGCTTATCAATAGGATCTAAATCAAAATCTTATACAGACATGCTCAACTGATGTCCCAATCGATTAGCTAGTAAAAGCAGCCACATATAATGAATTAGTCCAGTTGCTCTGATTCTTTTAAATGTCAGCTTGGTGCCTAACTTAGATTATTCCCAAAGATTTCTTTTTCTGTTTAATCACATTTTTCTGCACTAAGTACAAACCTCTTTTTGATTCTTTAAGTGTAAGGCCTATGGTGAAGTGTGCTGAACAGCTCAGAATGATGAAAACATACAATTTCCATGGTGGTATGTTCCTAAGCAACCCATTTAATCTTTTTGGAGATATATGAATCCATAAGACATAAATTATAGTACATACCTCAGATAATGTTAAGAAAATTAAATCAGGTTTTATATATGAAAATAAAATTATGTTTGTTTGTTTTCTAATTCGTAACAATGTATGTGCCTTTTTAAAAATACAGATTTATAGAGTAACACTTGGCTAAACTCTGGGAGAATTTTATAAATATGAATATCTTCTTCCAAATAGAATGAATATGTATGTGATGTCTACTGAAAATGGCAGGTCTAGTGTGCAGCCAGTTCTGTGGATCTCTTTGGTTCTTGATATAGGCTCACCCTGCCCTTTTTCACTGACTCACTTGGTACATAACCTTGAACAAATCACTGTTCCTTTCACAGTCTATTTTCTATTTTTTCATTCCCCAGTGTTCTATGCTTTGTTTCCTTCTTTCTTTCCCATGTTCTACTTGTTCACATAATTTCAGCTCTATTTAATGAAAAAATGACTTTAGAGTTCCCCAGGGTATTTTAGTCACATTGCATAAGAACATTTCCTTCTTAAAAATATTACCTGAATGACAAGTTTCGGCTTGTATTTTGATGTTCTCCTCAAAAATAATTTCGATATACGTACATGAACTAATTTTGCTGACGAGTAAATTTGATTTGGAGATATGAATGTTTCTGATGGAAATGGTTCCTTGGCATACATGCAAAGGGTAATCAGACTAAAAAAGTTGTCTAGAGTCAAAGGAAATTTTTATGTAAGTGTCTAATAAAGGTATAAAAGATATTTAGAAACATGGTGATTTTTCAAGAAGATACGGGACATTAGAGTTCTGCCATTAATGAGGTTTTCATGTATGTATGTATTAAAAGCCTAGTCACACATAATATCAGCATATATCAAGGTCAGGTATGATTTTTGGATGTGGTATAGCCCAGCCTTGCGTGCAAAGTATGAATCTCCTTATAAAACTAAAAAAAATCACTCAAAGAGACACAATGGGACAGAGGAGGGAGGGAGGGAGGGAGAGAGAGAGAGAGAGAGAGAGAGAGAGAGAGAGAGAGAGAGAGAGAGAGAAAGAGAGATCTTTTTATTATTTCAAAACTGTAATTACTACTTTTTGCTCAATTTTCTTATGCTCTTTTGTGCATATTTTATGCTAAAAACCAAGGGTATTCTGTTCTTAGAAGTTTAGAGTGTGTGGAACTTCTCTGTGACCTGCATGTCATGTACTCTTTTTTACTGACTTGCTTTTTCCTTTCAATAGGCATGTCAGAGTTCAATGTTGGCCCTGTCTGCTTTCTAAAAATAAAATTAATTGAAGAGATTATAGAATGTCTTGTGCTTTCTCCAAACTCCTTTAGTGTTCATCTGATGGACTGGTAGTTTTCTGGAAATGCGCCACAGGAAATAGAAGCCTTGAGAATCATGAATTTTCAATCTCAGTCAGTAATTTGCAGATCAATTACTGCAAATGTCTCATGTTATAGGTAATTGTACCCCAGCTAGTAAATACCAAACTTGGCTTACCACTTAATGTGACCCCCTGTAACAGTAATTTTTGGTGTGTACTAGCCATAAGATCAGTGGCATACAACAGTGAGAATCTATTTCTTCTGCACATATTTTGTTCTTACTTCACCTATGAAGCACCAGATTGGCAGGAACAGGAGGTGGAATGATTAATTGCCTGACTATGCTATTCATAAGTGTTGGTCAAACCACCACAGTACAAGACCATAAAGCAAGCCTAGTAGGGACTCTGTTCATGTTAAACCCACTCACAACCCATTATCCAGAATAAATTACATCACTGCACTCAAAGTAGGGAATGAGTAATTATCTGCTAAACCATGAATGAGCATACTATATCATGGCCTTGAAGAACTATCAACTGATACAAGAGTACAAACTTAGCTTGCATAAATAGAATCGATGATGGAGAGAAGGTCATCAGTTCTAAATCTGTTCTTTGGGAAAGCCTTCCAAGAAAGTAGAAGAGGAAAGAAGTGGAAGAGAACAGAAAAGATGAAAGACGAGATTACAAAGACTATGAGAAGGCCCTTAGTAGTGATCACCTGCTGAACTTGACTCAAGAAGATCACTTATGTAAAAGTCATTTGAAAACAATCATGACAGTATAACCTTGGCAGTGAGACACGTCATTGGATACAAACAAAGCTGTGGTTCTGGGCCAGAGGCCAAGACAGTGATGGTAG